GAACAAAATCAGAAAATTAAATCGACGCATGAAAGCAGCCAAAGGTTTAGCCAAACACGAGTAAGAACAAAAGCAGTTAAGAGAAGTAAATGCTTGTAGTGACACAAACTGAAAATGCCGAAATTGCTTTTCACATGGAATAAAAATTGACCTGAAATACTGCAATATTTGGCAAAAATAATATCGTGGATCCACATTTTACCAAAAAAAAAAGGGGGAAAAAAATAACGTATAGGCCGTAGCTACAAAAGAATCTGATTTTCACAGGGTAATATTAAACAAGAGCACGAACAAACACACTTTGGAACTCATTTAACACGTGGGGACTACATTGAAGTTTTAAGGTGGGCCCGTGTGAAACACATCCAAACTATCCATCATCATTAAACAAGCTTATGTGACTGGTGCATGATCAAAACTAATGCACCCAACATTATCAGATTGATAGTGTTGGCCCGTGTATACTTGGCAAGTAGAGAATGACTGAACTTTACATAGACTAGCCAACTTTAATAGAAACATTACATAGAACTTTTTCACAGCCTTTACAACGTTAAACTACCTTTATATATAGTAACTTCAGAGTAAAAATCGATAAAAAAATGCATGTACACCAGATGCATTGATAAAAAAATAAAGTCAAGTTTTTTATTTTAATTTTGTAGGAAAAGAAAAATTCACCTTGATCCTGTCATTAAACCTACATAGCATGAACCTACGATTAAACACACTTTCAACAATGGATGGGACACAATGACACTGTCATCAGCTTAACGTCCTTGCAACAAAGGAAATATTTAAGAGTCCATCAAATTTGCTACGGAGGACGTGAATCACCATCTTCTTTTCAAATCAAACCGTCCAACAAATATATGAGAAGTAAAACATTCAGAGAGCTTTCAACATTGCATTAGAAAAACTCGTCCACTACTCCAGGCAAGACCTACATTTTCCTTTCGATTTAAGCACACATATTATTTATGTACCTCGTTTAAGCCGTTAATTTCACCACAAGCCTGTATAGTGTAGAGCCCTGGTGCTTTTCCAAAACACTAATTCACTAATTCAAGATACTATAGCTCGAGCCTCCTCACCGCATAAAACTGTAATAGCATAAATGAGCAGCACAAAGCCAAAAGGCAAATTATAACCCTGCAATATACATCTGGTCCCCCCACAAAATTCAATCACGTGACAACAACATCGGGTTATCATTCTTGGATCATGTGGTCCTCACGCGACTACAAAAAATGTGCAGACAGGGGCTCCAAGGGCTCAAAGCCATTTTTGCCAAGAGGGGACATAACCCATATATTATTTTAACCATGGTTATTATGAAAAAATTTGAAAAAATAAAATCTTAACCAGTTATACTAGGTAAATTTTTGAATTTATACTAACAAGTAAAATGAAACAAAATAAATATTAATAGTTCTAAAAAATAAAAATAACAGTTACCTTCTACGAACCTAAGCCCAGCTGAGCTACAGATTTGGGATTCTGTTTCACACTTGCCTGAATCTCAATAAAACACAGACCACCTTCATCAGCTTTATCTCTACAGACCTGAAAAAAGTTGCATAAAAATAAAGCAGAAAAATTTTAATCCCATGGGACCATTTCTTAATCTAAACAAGACGAAAATATATGAGAGTCTGAGAGACACATACATATATACCCACGAGCGCGTAGTGTGTGCTTCCTGTGAGTGTCCAAACAGAAGACAAAAAAATGGAATCTTTAAACAGAATATGTTGAAGAAATAAGGCTCACACCTGAATGAGAGCCTAAAAAGGCCGATAGATCGCCCAACACAAGATAAAAATCCAATCTTTGCGAGGGTTTTTGAAAATAAAAACAAATAAAAATCTGTTCTTTACTAACAAGAACAGAAGATGTTTGTCTTCATGCTCTGGTAAGAAACTTTGTGAATAAATGGGCTTATAGTTCTGATGTTAAACGGAAAAATAAAACAAGAAACACAAAAATCTAAGGGAGTTGGCACTTGTTTTAGCTGGAAAATCTACTGTTTTTAGTGAGACTGGCTTTTTTTGGTGAAAAAAGAAAAACCAGAGTTTCAAAGGGCTCCAAATGAAGAAAAAATGTAGAACAATGCTGGACAGAGGAGAGACATTGGAGAAATAAAAGAAGAAATATAATAAAATAATAAAAAAATAAAAGGGTGGAGAAAAATCACAGCCGTTGCCCGTTGGGCACAATATTTATTCCTTTTATTTGTTCAGACAATTATATCCTGTTGCCTCGAAAGGATCTCTCTATTTAGGGAAAGAAATTAGGTCTAATTTGGGAGGGCATAAAAGTAAGTTTCCGTCTAGTTGTCTAAAAGACGCGGTTTGAAAATGGGAATGAGAAAATGGATTGATTTGGATGAGTGAATAATAAATTAATTGGGAGAAATTCTATTATAGGGTGTGACTTTTTGTTATTGTGTCACATTAAAGTCAGAATTTTCGACTTTTTTATTTGAGGATTTCAATTTTAAGTTATTGTCAATATAAGACCTACTTTTACATTCTACTTTTCAATTTAAGACTCCAATTCATTTTGTATTTTGATATAATTATATAAATTACAATACTCTTTTTTAAAAAAAAAATATTTTTTTTTTTAAATAATTAGAAATATTTTTAGTAAAAGTAATTTAATAAGAAGATTAATTCAAATAAGAAATATTTTTAGTAAAATACTTTAATAAGAAAATTAATTCATTTAGGCTATGTTTGGTAGACAAATAAGTTAACTTATAACTTATTTGATTAGCTTATAAGCTTTCTGTTCGAGCTTATTTAAATAAATCTCAAGCTTATCTCATAAGCTTGTTTGAGTACCTTTTTAAATAAGCTAGTTGAAATTTTTATTTCAGCTAATTTTACCAAACACTTTTATCATATAAGCTAGTTTTTCTGCTATAAGTCATAAGCTATAAGCTGTAAGCTCGAAAATTATTGATAAGCTATAAGCTAGCTTATCAACTATTAGCTAGCTAATCAGCTAATTTGTATTAATTTTCTTACGAAGTTCGTTTTACAAATATATTTAATACTTTTATCATAGGCATTAATTTTATATATTCTTAACTCTTTAAAAAATATGAATTTTATTCATAAATATTATTTTCTATAAGTTTATTTAAAAAAAATAAAATTTTGATTTTTTTAAATAGCTTATATTTTAATGTTATCACATATTTTGTTTAAATTTAAGTTAAAAAACATTTGTTAACTTTTAAAATAAATTTCATTAAGCTTTTGCATAGATGTAAATTGTGAACTACATATTTTATTAGGTCATTTTACTAAAGATATGAGAAAAAAAAGGAAAAAAAAATACTAAAGATATTTAATATTTTTTATTATAAGTACTTAAATAATAATTTATTTATTTTTTTAAAAGAGAGTATTGTGGTTTACATAATTATATCAAAATACAAAGTGATTTGGAGTCTTAAATTGAAAAGTAGAATGTAAAAATAGGCCTTATATTGACAATAACTTAAAATTGAAACTCTCAAATGAAAAAGTTAAAAATGCAGGCCTTATTGTGACACAATAACAAAAAGTCAAGCTTTACAATGAAATTTTCCCAAATTAATTGCCCATTATCCCTTTCTTTTTTCTGTAAAAGCAAAATGATGCAATATAGAATTTGTTTTAATTGTACTTTATGAAGATGAAAAGTTTGTGATGAAAAACGTTTTATACAATGGTGAAAATCTTAATTTTCTTCTTGTAAACGAAAAGTTGTCATTTCTATCTTACAATATTATTGAAATTGGTACAAAATAATAAATTGGCACAAATCTTAATTTTCTTGTAATCCAAAAGTTTTTTACGTAAAAAAATATTCAACGATGTTAGGTTCGTACTCAAATCCTAACCCAATATTGTATGTACATTTGAATTAGATAATGTAGAAGACCAAAACTCGGTTTAACCATAACAATATCTATCAGAAATGTGAGTCTTGTTATTTGCATAATATTTATTATGAATTGGTGTGTTGTGAATAAAAAGGTCTCACATTGCTCGTACACGAAATTACTGTGAATGAACTTTGTTCAAATTTATATACTATTTGCCTAGCATCTTCAAACACACACATACACGCACAAATGTTCATCTAGTCATTGTGGACGAGCATCTCCAATGAACCTAGTGAATGGATTGTGGACGAGCATCTCCAATGAACCTAGTGAATGGTAGTCTACGTGGCAGTTAAATAGAAGATTTTCTCTGCACGTGGACTGAAGGGATTAAATCACTCTCCAATGGTAAATGTGTAAACACAATAAACGTTTTTTTTTTTGTTTTCCATGAAATCATAATATTAATATTTTCAACAATATATATTCGTCAATTTCATTCACAACATACACAAAATTGGCCTTTATTTATTATAAATGCCAGTATTTATCTCCCCATATTCATCAGTTCATCAAGTATGTTTTTAAGAGTAATGCATATTTATTTTATTTTCGAGCATCTATCATGTATTCATAAGTATTTTGTTAAGAGAACAATTATGTCCAACCCTCCAACTCGCCATGATTATTTTCCTTATTTTCTTGTTGTATTAAATATGGTAATACATAATTTTGACAAAATATATACCATTAAATTTATAATATAATTTTATAAATGTATCAATTTTTTTCTTTTATTTTTCTTTATGATAATCAACGACTTAGATTATAAATTGAAAATTTTCTTTAAATTTAGTTAATATTTTGGTAAATACTAGATACATGTTTTAACAAATAAAATAATCATTATATAAATATTATTATATTTATTTAACTTTTATTTTTTGTTAATTGTATAATGATAATTTAAATATATATAAAATAATATATTTAAGACTTCTAGAAGTACTTTCACATGTAGAAAGACTTCTACAATAATTACATCTCCTTCATGCCACATCGGCACAATTGGAAGAAAAAAATGACTGCTGGACAAGTTTATTTATCGACTACTTATACAATCCCACAATTCACATTAGAGATGCTCTAAGATGTATTCACAAGTCACGTGTCAAAATTTCATAATATTTGGATACGATACTCACAATGTATGATATATACTAACTTCCAATATCTGCGGGTAAATATATTAACTTGTGTCTATCGGGGGCAAGAAAGCAACTTATATATATACATACTCATGCATGTATAATATTCAATTAAGCTAAAAATATAATTAATGCTTATTAAGCCCTTTGGACCAAGTAACATAAATAATTAATTGGCTCTTTCCTTTTTCCTTGTGGCTGAGAGAAGGAAACGTGCAAGGATTGTTGCAATAATGAACATCAAATTCTTGTAAACAAAATGTGGACATAGACATCATAAATGTTATTGACCATGAAATTTATTGAAAAAAAAAATTCTGATTGCAGATTGCTTAAATGTGATGGCAAATAAAAATCTCAAAGATTTTAATGCACACATGACAAACCTGGAAATTCAGATTGCTAAGTGTTCAGATTTGATCTTCAACAAAAATTACATAGTATTATATAGGTGTGGAAAGTTCAAATGTTCTCCTCTCATTATTCACATTTTATATAATAAGTCCCACTAGTAAAAGCAAGAAGTTCACTACTGCAAATAAGTGATAATCATATATACGGCTCTAATAATTGTGGGGGGAAAAAGAAAAGAATAAGTGATGGGATGAATCGAATTTTTAGCTCAAAGACAAGATTCAGCATCTCAAATCAGCAGCTTTTTCATGGGCTTAGTTCTTTGCGGGGCTGAAAGAATCCAATAAATATCTATCTAGCATCAAACAAGTTCGACCCTACAGGTGCAAATACTGCCTTCACTGGCCATTTTTACCTTCTTATTTTTTTTTACAATTGGATTATATGTATGTTTTGTGTGTAAAAATACTGCATTCACTGGCCTTTTTTACCTTATTTTGGATTATACATATATTTATGTATTTATGTGTACATTCATCGGTAAAAGTCCCGGTGAAGGTGTAGGATCAAATTAATCCTAGCATAATCAACAAATAATGGGGAACCAATTAAGATAGTTTTCAAAGTTCAAACAAAGAAAAAGGGCAGTTTTCAACCAAGTTTATATCATGTTAAAAGATTNTTTATCAAACCTTAACTAGCTCGAGCTAACGAACAACTGAACAGCTCGTTTCGCTGAAAAGCTCTAAGCTCACCACCATTATGCCCAACCAACATTGAATACGGCATCATTAAGAGAAAAAAAGGAAGAAAAAAAAAATATGAGGGGAAAAAAGACCTGGAAAATTAAGTAGCAGAACATATTCATTAGCAGAAAGTATTCTGTGGCTCAAGTGTTTCAACTCTAATCTTGAAGTTGATCCCAGAAAAAATCTAAAACTGTATGATTAAACAAAGCCCACACAAGAGAACAAAAACTAACAAAGGGACTAAGAAACTACAATCTTTCCACTTTCGGAATTTTCCACAGCTATCGATCCCAAGATTCCTTCTTTACATTCCAGCGACTTGCCAAAAATGTTTAGTTTTTGCTTTTGTTTTTTTTTCTCGGGCACAATGTCTTTTAGAAACCGAAGAATCCAAGCTCACTAGCCTTTTCCTTCTCAAACGTTTCGAAATACTGATAAATGATGGTCACAGCCAAAAGAATACCTGTGCCCGAACCAATTGCGCCCATAAGATCGGCCAAAACAGTAAGTGCACCAATGCACATGCCGCCAAAAGCAGCTGCCGTGGGAATGTATCGGTTGAGCTCCTTCTGTAAGTTCGATTCTCTGTGACCGGGCATTACCATTTGTTGTTCCTTAAGACAAAAATAAAATAAAACAAAATAAAAAGATTAGAGGGCAAGGATAAGGCTCATAAAATTAGGAACATGAAAACAAATTGGATTAGATACGAGTAGAGTGTACTAGTTTCAAAAGGTAAGAATAAAGACTGCTCACAAAAAATGTTATTCTATACGATCACTTTTTTCCGTTCATACTAACATTTTCAGTTCGGTTGATATGAGGCATTTTCACTTCAAATCAACTCTTTGCTTTTGACTTCTATTGACTTTTATGTCAACCGCAAATTCAATACATTTATTGGAGTATTTATTATGCAAACTAACTCAAACGGGTAAACAGGCACCAGTTCAAGAGAATAATTAAACCAAGAAAACGTGTAAGAACATACCTTAAGTTGCTTGGCGACATCTTTGGCCGAAGATCCCGAGACTTCAATCCATGTCTTCGAGAATAGAGCACATGCCGAAAGCATAAACACGATATAAAATAGTCCATGGAAAGGGTTGGCCAATATATCAGCCAAACTGCAAAAACAACATCAACCACTTGCAAGAGTGAGCCACATAAACGAGAAAAAACAACTAAGAGTGTGAATGGATATTATCAATATAATTAAATAATATTAACCAATCATTCTTACACATCCACACACATAATTTTAATTAACCATCACTTCACATCATCTATTTCATACTTTTACTTCAAATCAATTTTAATTATTTTATTTTAAATATTATTTTAATATAAACTCAAAATCTCACTAACAACTAACCATACCACCTTTTTCAAAATTAACTATGGTTAAAAAAAAAACCCAATTAAAACCAAATCAAATTCATATCCAATCACACCCTAAACAAACGAGCTATATAATCAAGGAAAAATAAACGGATACACAAGTTATGCTCATCACAATAGAAACATAACATGCAAATAATCTCAATTACCTGGATGGTGCAGTTATATAATATGCAAGACCTCCAACAGGGACTGATCCGCCCGAATATTCAGATTCCTTCCACTTTCCCAAGAGGTTCACAAGAAAATTACCACTGTACCTCCTGTAAAGCAGCTGCAAAAAATAAAAATACAAAAAAACCATTAGTTTTATTGAATACTCGAACAAAACAGGATCTCCCAAATTCATTCATATAAGTTATAACCAGAATCGTTCAAGCTTACCTGGGAAATGAAGTACAAATTAGAAACAAGAGCAGACTGCAAAATAATCGGCATGTTGGAAGTGTAAAACAGCTTGATAGGGTATGAGCCTTGTTGTCCTCTAGCATTCTTTGATCTCACGGGTAGAACCACACGGAACCCTTGAAAGTAAATGACGATGAGGAAGACCAAAACTGTGGCAAGCAAGTTCGTAACATTGGGTAGATTCTGCCGATAGAATGCCTCCCGTAAAGCTCGAACCTTGTCAGTCCGAGTGATCAACAAATGGAACAATGCAATAACGGCACCTTCGAATTCAGCTCCACGGCCACTGTTTATGGTGGTGGGGCTAAAGGCTTTCCAGATGATGGTTTCGCTGTTAAAGAAAATGGAAAACAGACGTAAAAATCCTCATTCTTGGTGAAAGAATAAGGCTTTGCTCGTTTATCAAATTTCTAGAAAAAAATCTATCCCAATTCAAAATCTAACTCAACTTTAACTCAACTCCGCTCTCCTCAATATTATCAATACATTAAATAATATCATTTAAACATTCTTACACATCACATCAACTTTAATTCATTGTTCATCAACTCACATAATTTTAACTACCTATCATTTTCAATCATTTATCTCCTACTTTTACATCAAATCAATTTTAGTCATTTCATTTTAAATATCATTTTAATACAAACTTAAAATCCCACAAACAACTAACCACTACTAACTTTTTTTCAAATAAACTCTAGTTAACACAAAAAACCAGTTTTTTTATAAACAAGCACGGCCCAAATGTCTGTAAAACTATCACCACTTACCAAATATTGGTGGCAATAAAGAGTGAAATACCAGAGCCTAGACCATATCCCTTCTGGAGAAGCTCGTCAAGGCAAATCACAATAATTCCAGCAAAACAAAGCTGTAGGATGATAAGGATTGCATTTCCAACACCGAGTTGGCCTACACTGCCATACATCCCTGAAAGAACATATGCAACAGCCTCACCAACTGCAATCAAGATTCCCAACAACTTCTGTGCACCATTCCTGGTCCAGAGAGAAAGGGAAACTTTCATAAGAACAAAATAAATAAAAGGAAATTACATGTTTTATGTTTTTTTCTTCTTCTTCTTTTTTTTTTTTTTTTTTCCCAACTCTCCGTTTCTAAAGCTCCAAAAACCGAGCNATGCATTAGGCTATTCCCTCTTTGCAGAATTTGAAAGCAAAAGAGTCACTATAGTTTTTCACACAAAACAAACAACAGCCTTCAAGAACTCAGCAGAAATCACTAGCCAGACATCGACCCGCTAACCAAAATCCACCAAATTCACAAAATTAATCAAATATATGACGAGCATAATAGGTCTGATCGACTTACAGGAGTGCACGATCCTCTCGCACATTGTTATCAACTTCAATGATCTTTGAACCAGCCAACAGTTGCATAACCAATCCAGATGTCACAATTGGGGTGATCCCGAGCTCCATCACAGTCCCCCTGTTCGAGGCAAGAATAACACGCATCCAGTAGAATGGATCTGCACCAGTCGTGGAGTGTATGCCATACAAAGGCAACTGACTACAGACAAGAAAAATGAAGAGTGATATCACAGTGTATATGACCTTCTCTCTGAAGGGAACTTTCCTGTCCGCACTCTGAACCTCGGGCAGGAACGAAAGAAAGGGCCGGACAAGATGAAGCACTCTAAACCCACCTCCCATTTTTCCTTCAATCTAACTATTTCAATCTGCACGTTAGAGTAAGTAAATACGAGTTCTCAGGATGATAAACAATTCAAGAGTAGTTTCCAAATGACTTTAGATATGAAAAATAATGCAGTAAATCCAATTTGCTATTAAATTTCAAAAAACCATTCAGTCAAATAATAAAGAAAAAATCTCAATAGGCTCTTAATGGTTTTCCTGTTATGCTCAATATCATCTGAAATAAGACCAAACCCTTATATCAAAACATGAATCTCAGTAATTATTATCAAGACCAGCCATAGATCACAGCGCTAACGTAAGATAACAAAATGGAGCTCAAGTAAATCAGGTCCCTGTTACTACAACAAACGAATACACGATCAAACCAAAGCCAACACCATGAAAACTCAAAAAGTCAAATTGGCATCAGAAGCACAACAGATCTAAACACCGAGGGAGATATATACCAATATTCCAACTTTATTTCAATTTCCGAACAAGATAAAACACATCTTCTTCTGAAATTCAACAAAATTGAAACCACATCTAACATCAACGAAAAGCAAGAACACATATACATCGGTTAACAGATCTGAAACACTCGATACACATTGAGGAAATTAAACACAAAGGTAGATTTGAAATACTGAGAATAAGCGAAGAAATTCATACGAACCAGTGAGAAAGCGAGCAGAGCTTTACACAGATCTAATCGATAAATTCTTGAATTTATTGAGCTGTCGAGGAGAGATGCTGATGTTAGAATTTGTGACACCGGATGGAGCCAATTAATAGAGGCCACGTGTATTCATGGTCTTAGTTGTCCTAATTTGACCCGCTATAATAAAATGTGCTCGAGTTACCGAGTCGTGGTCTAACACGAATCCAACAAATTTGGTTTGGACATGAAATAAAATCGAATGTTTTTCATTTGGTTTTTGTAAAGTTTCGATATTTAGTTGGATTGGGACAGATCCAGAAATTAAACGTAGATTGAGCTAGAATTTTAAGTACTAAAAAATTACATAATATTTTTTCTTTAAATATTTATTGAATTTGTGCTCGACGAGCTTTTACATAATAAAATTCATCAATAATATAATCTATTAGTAAACTCTCGTTCGATGAAGAGATCAAACAATCTTCGAGAAAACCATCCCCAATCTTATTACGAAGTGCTGTCTTCACATGCTTCATGGCTGAAAATGCTCGTTCAGTTGTAGCAGTAGAAACCGGCAATGTCAGAACTAGATGAATCAATCTAGTTAACATAACATACACTTTCGATCTACAACTCTCTGTTAATTTCTGGCATAATTCAACTAGAGTAAATGCCTGGAAAATCTTGAGCTCATCATGCTTATAATGAATTAACTCGTATTCCAAAGCCACAATATCTTGAACTGTAAAATCTTCCAGATGTAACTTCTTCGCGAGCTTGCAAATATCATCACAATACCAATATAAGCCAAATGTGTCCATTGATTAACAACATTATTATCAATCTGTGTATTGTGCAAGTTATTGATTAACAACATTATTATAAACTGCAATCACGAAAAGGGATTATGAAATTACAGTTGTAAAGCAATTTAGATTGCAACACAAACTTTTGGATCTATGCACCTATTGAATTGGTCTTATAATACCTCTGAACCTACGAATCAAGTATATCTCATCAATTTCCAAGATAATAAGTAGCTTTTAATCTCTCCAAGTGACAACAGAACACAAAGCGGAGTCAAGAAAAAACAGAAGTTCAACAAGCAAACGCAGATTGAATTGAAATCTAGCATGCTGGAAAGTGAAAACCAAAATTTCTAGACAACTAATCAAATAAAATTACAGAACGTNGAAGAAGAAGAAGAAGAAGATGATGATGATAAATCAGATACAATACAAAAAATATAACAATAGCTAGCATCAATTTTACAAAACATAATTTTTTTTTTAAATCTAGCCTGCCATCTAGGGCTTGTAAAGAGTAAAGACATTTTTTTTTTACCTTCGAAATTGGAGGGCCGAGTCGGCCAATTGGATGAGTGGTGGCTGGTCGACGAGTTGACGGATGGTGAAATTCGGTGGTCGCCGGCCAGTGAACAGAAACCACAGTAATTGAAAATACAGAGGAGAGGAGAAGAAAAGTCTCCCGCACGCCAGTTCAACATTCTTTCAAGTTGCAAGATATTATATATTAGGTTGAATGGATGATATAATGTCATTTGGGCTTGAGTATTTAATTGGGCTGGGCTAGGGATTAAAAATAAAATAAAATAAAAAATTAAAGCATTTAAGGGTTAAATAAGTAATAGGCTTGGGCTTCAGCCCAACCCAGACCTATGGTAAATCCGTCCCTGGATTGAGATAAAAGTATTTCGTTCAAACCGAAAAACCTATGTTATTCATAAACTTGTTAGAAACTCATAAGATGAATAAATGATTATCTCATCTACTCAGCTTAAATCATGTTTAGTTATCATTCACATTATCTTTGTCTTATTTTTATTTCTTCTCTCTTTCTACATTTTCTACAATTTGCCAATCATTAACCGAATTGATCCAATTGATAGAATTTTGATTTGAAAATGAATCGAACCATCATGAATTTTGGCTCCAACTTTAGTTCCCATTTTAGTTCACATATAAATTTTATATTTCAATGCCTTAATAATATTATATATCATTGTAAATATTTTCAACACAGATAGAGATACGCAACTTTTTTATTTTTAAATATTTTTGTAGAATATTTTTAAAATAATAAAACAGGCCAGAGTAATGTTTTGATTCAAGGTTGAATGGATTTTGAAAACTTCATCTAAAGTTGAAAACTGATTTTTTCTCTTAAAAAAGCAAAGAAAAAGAAATAAATTAATAAACCAAAGATGGGCTACGCTAAGCAGCATGGGATGTAATATATCCTCAAAGTCGAAAGCCGATGGTGAGGATTATACAAACTTTTCATACATGTTTTTCGAACTTGAGATTTTATCGTTCCTTTTTTTTTTTCTTTTTTTTTTGTGGTAAAACCGATACTTATTCGACTTATATATGTTTCCTTCATTTACATGGTTCTTACTGCAACTAACAATTTCCACAGGCAACGTTAAGAAGATGATCAGAAAACCGAAAGCATGGAAACATCCACAGCCGACTACAAAAAGTCAGCTTATACAGTTGAGAGGAGTTTTGGGACACTTCTCATTATGGATGGTACAAAAGGTTAAAGAAACAAAAGAAAAGAAAAATAAAGATGTTAATATCACCAAGGAAAACAACTAAACAAGATAAAAAAAAGTTTAGCCCTTTGAGTAAACAAATCCATGATTTGTTTTATTTATTTAATTTTTTTCTGGCTTGTAACCTCTAGAAATATGGGATGTTCTAAGAGCAGCAGCATAAGCTGATCGACTTGGAGTACGAATCCTGAGAAAATATGTGGTATTTGACAAGATAAACTCATAAATGTAGAAACCTGATAAGAATTACGGATCAAATTCTCTACAAGCACTCAAATTCAACTATCTATGCAAAGGAACTTTAGATATGAAAATTCAAAACAAAACCACGTGTGCATGCACGATTGACTATTGAGAGGTTTATATTGAAAACCAACCAGATATGGCTAGATGTAGGTGAATAATTGCCCTCACACTTTCTTGAAGAATGACATGATATTCCCCTGCTTGGGATCTTTTTTCGCACCCTTTTTGTTTCCAGCTTTCCCTGTTTGATTTGATACTGTGGTGGTTACTGCAGGTGATTTTTTCACCACCGGTGGCCTGAAATAAGCCAGTGGCATATAAAAAGTTAATAGATATCAAAACGAAGGAAAAAAGAAAAATCTCAAGTTTCAAATTTTAGATTTAGTCATTATCTTAGCATCGAATGTGAAAAAATAACCATCCACATGGATGGTTATTCCCCTCGGTAGCATAACACAAAACACACGTGCTTACCATTGTAATTTGATTTTAATTGATAAGATGTAAACTGAAATGGGTCAGGCGCATGAGTGTAACCTGTTAGTAGCATTGTTCGTCGTGTTCATCTCAGCAACTTTCACCGAACTATCATCAGATTTTCTATCTGGCTCCTCACCTTCCCAGACAACCTCAGTAACTGGAACCGCATAAATGCATCAGGAAAATATATTTCAACAGCAAATGAATAACGAAACAAAATGAAATCTACCCTCAACGTAAGAAAATTATCCTGATAAGATACCATATCGACATTTACCAGAACTGACCTTTTGAGGTTTAGCCAAACGACAAAAATTACTACCAGCACTCTTTTGAAATTATAAATACTTCTTGGAGACTGAAGGTAAACTTTACAAAGTATAAATAAGTGAGGGTTTTTTTGTAATAATAAAGATAACCAGGTTATTTTCATAATTATGTTAAACTTTATGGGCAGTTTTTGCAATACTACATTCCAGTACCTACCTTCTCTTCCCCGATCATCGATACGTGTCTTCAACACCTTTTTCCTCTTAGGCGCAACATTAGCCACTGTATCTTTCACACAAGATTCTGCTTTATGAACATGGCTGAGGTTCTTATCTGAAGTGGGAGCCTCAATCTTTGTTTCTTTTGAATGTTGATTAGTTTTCTCGCCATCTGCTTTCGCCTCTTTAATCGACGGCTTATGTTCCTTGTCATTGAAACTTAATTTGCATTCCGGGCCAAAAGCATTCAACCCATCTTTTAAACATGGGGAGGACTTTTTTGGAGGATCAGGTGAAGCTAGATTCACTGCCTCTTGGTATTCATCTTCCTCGTCCGAGTAATCGAACACGACTCTCCTCTTTCTACTGCTTTCGCCATTAGACGTTCTCTTCATGTTGAAATCGTGGCCATCTTCATCACTGCTTGCGTCTTCTACTGATTCGCGAGCACAAATTTGAGCTTCTGCACTGGCTGTTTTTATACCAAAACACGAGTTTTAGACAAACTGGAAAAGGAAAAATAAGGAAAATCCAATTGCCATTAGATATACATTTTTCTATCTTCACAAAGTACTACTGAGAAATCAGAAATTCAATCCGTTATTTTTTCCTATCTAAATGGAAGAACAAGACAATCACAAAAACTAAAACAGAAGTTCAGATTACAGAACCTCAAATTATCTTTCACAGACACAAAGACCCATTTAAAGCACAACCACCCCCTAGAGATTTGTATTTAACAAAAAAATAATCCCAAGAGAAGCAAATTCGGGGGGTTGTTTGTAATTTGAAGATAATTAGATTTGTATGTGTGCATATGCCAGAACTTAGGAGCAGCTTTGTAATTGATACTAAAAGGAAGAGGAGTTAACCAGCAGAGTTTTGTTTGGAGTTGTTAGCCTGCAGCAAAGCAGCCTCGGGTTCAGGCTTAGCAGACGCACGGCCCCACATGCCAGCTAATGCCCCTCCACTTCCAGAAGTTTTTTTATCAGTTTGACCACTTTTGTTGTTACGGGTCACCTGAGGGACTTTTTCTTTATCTGCACGAAGCTGGGCCCCCTGTTCTCGATTTAGCTTCACAAGACTCTCGTTTTTAACAGTTTTTGCACTCTCAGGAGGCTGCAAAGGCTTTCCGAAGCTTGTGGACCCAACAGAGCCTCCGGTGGGTTTCACCTGCAGGGTCCCTGTGCCTGAATTTGCTCCTCCCACGGCTCGCTTAACGAATGAATTTGAAACTCCACAGAACCTTTTAGTAAATAATGCGGTGAAGTTAGAGAAGAAAGTAGTCGTCACGAGTTTCATGTGAAAGAATGGTGCCTAAACCATTATAAAGAGAGAAAAGATGTAAAAACACTAGAGAAATCCCGAGATAAACTTTTCACTACAGAAAGGTTAATTGCTAAAAAATATGGATTTGAGTGGGATTAAAACAAAGAGTTGAACCTGTTATCGCGCAAGCAATTATCGACTGCAAGTGATTGCTTAAAGAGATCTTCGGCTTGGACAAATTCGTGATTCCAAAGGGTTGCTGGGTCCTTAGGGAGACACGCTTGTACACTGTAAACCTGAATGGAACAATTTCCTTCAAATTCTTGCTTTGCATCTGCACATATTGTAAACAATGGTTTCTTTCACATTAGAAATTCGGCCGATGTTATTCCCTTTATATCATCAGACTTGATGAAATAAATATAATAGCCACCCGAGAGACACAACCAAGTTATCATCCTCAACACTAGAGTGCATTTTCAGATGCATAAATACGGACTTTGAGGCACGTAAAGGGCTCCAAGAATAACTTTAGTCAAAACTTCAAAATAATTTATTCCTAATCTAGTTGTCACCAATAGCCATGCAATGACAGCACAAATAGTGAACACTGACCAAATGAAGGATGTTACATTATTTGTTCTTATATGAAAAAATTAGTTAACAGATAAAAAAATGCGAAATGAATGGAGCTCCAAATTTCATGATTTCTTTGTGCGCAGCTTACCGTTTTTAATTTATGGGCTTTTGCCAACCAATTGGATCCAATGATCCATGCTGGCAACAGGTTTTTTTTTCAGAAGTCCACTCAAGATGTCAATACATCAGTCACTCCGAACTAGCTCATATAAGTAGCCCAGCTTTAAGATCAGCAAACCAACTGGAAAATCTACGAGTCAAATCTTAATTTTTCACCTAAACAATTCAATCCCAATGTTTTTGGTAGCCATAATAGTTATAAATTTACTAAAATCTACATTCATTCTATAAACTGATCACCAAAATTGCGCACGATCAGTTAAAAAACTTCAGCATCACGAATCACCTGAACCTCATAGACAGTACGAATACTATAACTGCAATTCCAAAGATAAATGGAAAAAGAGGCTAGAATGAAGCATAAGTAGTACCTAAAAAATATGAAATAGAAAGTGGTAAAGTGAAGCTCACTTATACGTTATATTTTTTTTTTCCAACTTTATCCCTTTGGAATTACAGAATCACCTGAAAGTTTATCCTTGGACACGAGCCTTATATGGTAAGCAGAAGGATTGTTCTTCAACCAGCCGGACAAAGAGTAAATCACTTCCAATCCATTTCCATACTTATCCACAAACGCCTGCAGCAGCCTACAGCCAGCAATCGATCAAAACAGGTCAGCCCACCAAACAATTAAACAGCAATATATGGAAAAATACCAAAGTGAATGAGCTTCGAGATTCAGGCAACCTACCCCTTTGCAGCATTGGAAGAAACCAAAAAGTTCCGACTAAGCCACTTGTACGAAACCTAAGCAGAAAATTACAACTCATTAATCGCTTAAAAATCCTAAAAAATCCATACAATCACGAGCTTTAGCAATTAAATCTAATTTCTAATGTGCAAATCCCACAAGATTAGCTGAGCCCGGTCAAAGTGCCCAATTCAGATCGAAATTATTCAAGCAACCATGAAAGTTTATAAACACTAGTGAAGCCCGGCAGCGACACATCTGGATTTCGAAATTTTATCAACGATGTGGAAAGAGATCGCATAACAGAAAGGCGTACCACTTGAAGTTTATCGGAGACGATGGACTGAACCTCGTCGAGGATACCCATGGTTTCGATTTCCGCCATTTTCTTGTCCGACAGCTAGCGATTCGTAACCCTGAGGGGAAAAAATCGAAGTTTTTTCTTCTTTCCGATTTTCCCTCTCTTGATTTCCCGCCACTTTCAGCTGATTTTAGGGCATTTTGTGACAACTTTCGCCCGCAAAGTACTATCGTGTACTCAGTTCAGTTAACGAGGTAAGTTGATAGACAACTCGAGCTTGACTCATGTAACGAGTTAAATCTTAAAGAACTGAGCTCAAAGTCATTGATAATGATTAATGACTAATGAGTCATTATCTATGTAAACTAATACAGATCCCGGGTGCACAAAATTAAGACTATTTATCAAGTCTTATAATTATATAAATGAATAAAAAAAATGTACGGGATATATATAGTACATTACCTGTTATAGGCCAGTATGTGTAATACAAATACATACCGTATGCACGGGACAGAAGTTTTCCACATAGCTTGCCCGTTAAGTAGCTCCTCAACACGGGTGCACAATTTGTAGTACGTACTATAAAATCAGAACAGATTTCTATACATTTAGATAATAAATTAGATAATAAATAAATCCTTTTTTATGTTAGTAAAGATTTTACGTACTTTTTTTTTACTTATCGGATGTTATGGGATTTTTTTTGTTAAACCGATTTTATGGGATATGATACAAATACAATTAGAGGATTGAACAAAATCAAAACAACTTTCTATACAATTAGATAATAAGAAGGAATTACATAAGGAAAAGAAGAAAGTAGATAAAGAATTTTGAATCTACCTTTTTTTAGTATAGATAGACTTTACGTACAAATTTTGACTTCACCGATTTTATGAGATTTGTTTTGACAAAATCAAAGATGAATACTGAAGATTGTTTTTATTAACATTTACAATGTGTATTTAATGTTTTTTTTTGGCAAAATATTCTTTTTAAGTGTGATATATAAATATTAAAAATACTTAAAATATTTTATAACATCTATAAAAGCATCTAAAATATTCTATATTATTCACAAATAATGTTTGAAACTACCTAATAATGTTCGGAGAGCTTCATTAATTTAAAAGTGTAAAATAAATAAATAAATAAATGTACAACTAAAAAAGTTACAACCAATTGTATGAAGAATTAAACTAAATCTAATTTTGTAGGATACATTAAATATTGATTAAATTTTATATGTAAAATAAAATAAAAAAATAACTGGAATAGTTTTACGTGTTGCAATATTTTATATTTTAAAAAATTAAAAAATCTTCTTTTACGTATTGCATATCAACATTTTAGGAACTACATGGATATTCCTAAATTAATATTGCATATCCAATATTTTAGGAATTAATTAAATGCTAATTTGATTTGCATACCAAAAATATTAGATGTATTAATTAAATGATTGATAAAAATAGCAAATCATTAATTAAGGTTGACTATTCTACATACTACATTTAGTAAATAGTATAACTTTTAATATAAGTATAGATATAGATAATATAAGATAAATTGAGCTTGGGTCTTAATGAACGAATCAGAGTAATGTCGAGTAGAACTCACGAGATTTACTTATTTCATCTAGTAGATAGAGCAGACTTATAATCTATATTGTTAAATGAGATAACCCGAGTTCAAATTTTAGGGGTGATTGTTTATAAATTCAACTAAATTTTAATTGATTTTTTTTTTAATTATAGTTAATTTTGAAAAAATGTGGTATGATTAGTTGTTAGTAGATATATTAAAATAAAATTTAAAATAAAATAATTAAAGTTGATATGGTGTAAAAGTATGAGAAAAATGATTGAGAGTGATGGTTAGTTAAAATTCTGTGAGTTAATGAATAGTAAATTAAAATTGATGTGATGTGTAAGAATGATTGATTGATATTATTTAATTATATTAATAATATTAGAGATAGTGGAGTTGCGTTAAAGTGGAATTAAATTTAAGTTTTGATTAATTTTTTTTAGTTGAGATGATAAACAATCACTCCCTAAATACTTTGGTTGGTCTAAAGTAGAGTTGTTAAATGAAAGGAGTCATTCGTGAGGTCGGCTTGTTAAGGCTCAAGTTGAGCTCGCTTAAAGCTCATTTTTTTAAACAATTTGAAAATCTAGTTTGATGAGTCTCGAAAAAAAAATTTTTATATAGTTTGAGATCCACTTGTTAATAATGATGAACAAGCCGTATTGCCTTAAAAACCCTACTCATCCACTCTTATCCCCTTCAAATCCCCTGCGAGACCTAAAACTACAGCAAATCTGCATGTGTCAACCTAGAGACACCTGTAATTTCCGCCATTATAGGTTTACAAGCTCTCGAATACTCAGATAACCACCGTAAATGGTTTTGCTAGAAACCTTCTGTCGCCGCCATTTTCTCCAGCTACTCAGACTCCAAAACCCTCACTTAACCTCTTCAAGCTCGTCTCAACCCTCCGATTTTTCGTTTCTTTCTTCAATTTCCTGGAGACCCTTCTCTCTCTCGTCCCGGCCCTCTGCAACATCAGAGAAGAAAACCCAGAAGCCGGCAGAGCCACTGAGTAAATTCTTCAAAAGTGCTATTTCCTGTCCGGAAAGGACCGACAATGGCTGCACCGAGGCCGTCAACAGTGAGCCAGCGCAGCTGAAAGAAACTGGGGCTAAGGTTAATCTGGCTGCGCTTTTTGCTGTTGGAAAGAAAGCAAAAGTTAAATCGATCAAACCCATCAACCTCGAGGGCCCAAAGGTATACGAAGAACTTTCGCCCGAGATGCAAATGTTTGCTCGATGTTTGCACGAGAAGGGATATTTAGACGATCCGAATTTTCTGCGCAAGATGAGGTACGGCAGTGAGTTTCTGAAGTCTGCAGCGGAGAAGTTTGCAAAAGATCACCAGGAGATTGCCAAGTAAGACTGTAAGAGCTAATATTTCTTGCCTACAGTTGTGCATTGTGCACAGAGCTGTAAATGAGAAGAGCTCGGGCTCAAGCCTTTACCAATCTTACCTCAGCTCGTTTATCTTAATGAGCTGAGCCATTAGTATATCTAATAGTTTAATTGCCTTTAGGAAATTTTAGTTGTGATTGATCTTGCTAAAGTTGGTGGAGATGTTTTTGTTTCCCTTTTCAGTGGATATATGAGAGATTATTTGTGTGTAAGTGTAGGTAGTGTGTTCCCTAGAAAAGGATTTTTGTTTCTTTTCATATTATTCTTTTCTTGTGCGATTTGATGATCTTAGGTGCTTGACTTGCTGCCCTATTTAAGTATCCATGAGCTACTGTGATTTGCTTTTTATATCAATAGAAATTGTGAAAAAATGAATTGACGTTTCGAAATGTAAGTAGCTCCTGTCAATCGATACGATTGTTTGAGTAAATAATTACAATGTGCTACTTGTTCATCGTTAACCTTTTGAGAGACAAAAGATTGCTTGCTAATAGAGCTTTCAGTTTTTTCATGATTTGCATATGGATGTACTTGAGGCCCTTATTAAAAGAAGTTGATATTTTGGTCCTGGTTTTACAGCTCATTAAAAAATCAGTATGCAATTTTTTTTCATGAAAATTCTATCTTTCTCGCCATAATTGTGGAGATTGACATGTTTCGCGTGCTCTGAAGTTGTTTTAGCACCATATTTAATCCGATATATCCTGAATCTCTATGTTAATGTACGTCTCTATTCTTGTGGGCATGGATATGTGATTGTAATTCCCATAGCGAGTTTTATTTATTTCATATTTTCCTTTACAACTCTTCATGTTTTGTCAATGGTTTTCCCCAGATGGTTGTCTGCTAGTGATCTCAAAAAAATAGCGCTTTTGGGGTGTCCATCTTATGAGCGTACCTCCGTTTATGCTGCTAAACACATGCGCCAATTCTTTAAAATTGAGGAACAAAAGGCAAGTAAGTTCTTGGAACAATTTTGTTAGGACTATGTTAAATATGTTATCTTAATGCTTGAACGGAAAAGGGAAATCAAAATCTCCATAATCATGTTCTCATTTCAGGTATGCGGAAAGTGTACATTAAGAAACTCGTGTAAGTATGCTAATAAGGGATGGAATAAATCTATTCAGCTGAGTTTGGCTAAAGTGATCCAGGTCCTCGTTATGTATGCTATGAGATCAGTTCATGAAGAGTTGGTGGTGCCTGAAGATATCAACAACTCAGTGAGTCGATTGCTGAAGGAGATGGTAAATCTTAGTCAACTACGTCAGTAAGCTTCCCCCGAGTACTATAGGTATATATCGGGTAAATTCGTTTAGCTAGTTACGAAAAAAATTCTTGCGCCTTAATTATGGGAACCTCCACTTGAAAAAAAATTCTTGCACCTCATTAGAGATTGTTTGTCATTTGGGTTGTTTTGTAATTAGGCTAAACTTTATGGGCAGTTTTAGTGATGTTTTATTTCCATAGTGAATAGATTAGTTTACCATTCCATTAATGGTGACATTTGTGTGTGCTCTTTATTTCTAGAGAACATATGTGCTGTTTCTGGTGGAATGTTAGGGCTGTTTTAAATTGCAGTATGATACATACTAAAAATGAATCTAGCTTAAGGAAAATTTATCTAGCTTAAGGCCTTTCACAACATTCGTTTTAGTGATGCAAAAATGATTTTTCAATCACTTTGTAAAAAAAAGTGGTACAACTGTGGGCACTGCCTCACAGAGGTTTTAACTGTCAGATTACACATACTCGCACACACCGGTGCATGTTACAACAGTTTACTTAAGAAAAAATAGGTGTGATTGATCCAAATAATCTAAGATAAAATTTCCTGCTTGCTGTAGCCTGTCGAGATGACAATTTGTTGTCAAGATAATGACTTGATCATTAGAGGGTTTATGTTGGAAACCTCCTTCGCAGGTACTTTGACGAGAAGTCCAGGAGAAGCTTACCAACTAATCGGTGTGGCTAAATCCGGTTAATTTGATAATCTCCTATCAGAGTGTCTAATTGAATCAAACATCAAATAAGCCATATTGCATAACTCAAAAGTTCACTTGACTTCCTCACTTTTTATCTTAAGAATATTGAAAGTTTGGCAGTCTTCATGCATATTTACAGAACACAAGTAAAATTTCACACAATTCACCTCATATTCATTACATTATTATCCAACTCCGAAGCCCACATCTCCTTATTAACTCCGAAGCCCACATCACCTTATTACAGTCGATTTCACCAAACATATCGCACAATATAAAACTACTTGAAATGGACAGAAGGGTGTAGTTATGACGAACAATCATATGGTCAAGAGCATCTTAAGAAATCCTTACATATAAGGAATAAATTACCAGAAGAAAAAACCCCATGGAATAAAAAAAGTTCGAAAAGGTCAAGGTGAAAAAGAGTTCGAGTCATAATGTTAGAGGAAAGAAAAAAGGAAAAGCATTAGATGTCGAGAGAATGGTTGGACGGACAGGATATTAAGCATTGTCATGACGATTTTGTTAGTCATCGCTTTTTTTTTTTTTACTATAAATCATGACTCAAACTCTTTCTCAACTCAAACTTTTTTTATTCCAGCTTGAATTTTTTTTCCACGGGTTCTTTTCTTCTGGTGGTTCTTTATATGTAAGTATTTTTAAGATGCTCTTAACTATATCAATGGTCATCACAGCTACACCCTTCTGTCTATTAAAGTCAACTACTATGTTAGAATTTATCAATTCGGTGCATGTTGATACAATGATTTACTTCTACTAGGAAAAAAGAGGTGTGATTGATCCAAATGTTAAATGTAAGATAAAATTGCTTACATTTCAAGGTAAGCAAATAATTGGTGTATTGATCCTGCCAACTTTTTATCTTAAATAGTCTTTAGTGTAGCTAAGAGTTCAATTGCCTCAGGAAATTTCAGTTGTGATTGATCCTACTAAATTCTTGGAGATTCATGTTGTCATCCGTTTCCCTTTTCAATGGATATGTGGGAAATTCGTTGTGTGTAGCGTGTTACCTAGAAAAGGATTTTTGTTTCGTTCCTTACTCTTATATTCTTTTGTGGTTTGATGAATTTATAGATGCATGAGGTGCTGCCTATTTAAGTATTTATAGGCTACTATGATTTGTTTCTTAAACTATTGTAAACTATGAAAAATTAGGTGGCATATAGAAATGCAAGTAGCTCCAGTCGATCAATACAATTGTTTTGAGGAACAATGGCAAGTAAGTTGGAACGATTTTGTTAGGGCTATGTGCAAAATGTTATCTTAAATGTTCGAAAGGAAAAATAAAACGCTTATTTCTTTCAGAATTCAACTGCAAGATGAGCTTTCATAATCATGTTCTCATTTCAGGTATGCTGGAAGTGTAAATCAGGGATGGAATAAATTTATCCAGCTGAGTTTGGCTAAAGTGATCCAAGTCCTTGTCAAGTCATGTATGCCATAGGATTGGTTCCAATATAGAGTCGATTGCTGAAGATAGTGAATCTTTGTAAGCTTCCCCCGAGTACTATAGATGTATAATCGGGTAAATTCTTTGCGCATTAATTTTGGAAACCTCCATCTTAAAAACCCCATGAAAAATCACAGCTTGTTCCATTGAAATACTCATGTGAAAAGCTGATAGTTCAGTTTATATATTTGAAAAGGGTAAATGGTGGGGACTCATATTTGCCTTGGGGTCATATGATTCTTTACACATTTGATCACTATCTAAAAAGTGGTGTATTCAAATACTATACTCTATCAACTATCATGTCATATACCTTTGTTTCTAGTGGATAATGTAGTGGAGGGGAAATTGAATTTTCACCTCTGATTGTTCATCTTCCAAAAGAATCAACGGTTGGATTATGATTGCCAAGAAAAATAGTAGCAGATTTTTCTATTCTTTTGTGCTAAAACTGTTCTATTTAAATGAAATGTGATCATTAGTGAAGAANAAATTTATTTCTTTTCCATGTTATCAATTTTCTACACAAATTATTGATTTTATTTTTCAAAATTTTTTCACAGCCTTCAAATTGACATCTACTGCAAAATTAAATTAAAAATAATTACATATAATTTAATAAGTTTTTTTTTTTTAAAAAAAAATACCTTAATAATCTATGCTTCCTTCAATTTTGGCCCACTGGAAACTAATATTATAAAAGAAAATCACTTTTGCTTGGTAAAAGTTTGTGAAGAATCATTGCATGCCAGAAAGGTGCAGGGGATCATATGATGTGTGGGCCCACTGGCGGTGGCCTTCGCTGCATGGGGTGGCCGGAGGTGGCGCCCGCCGGTGCCGGCTGATGTCAGAGAAGGCACGCCTCTTGTGGGGCCCAGCATCCACTTACTCGTGGTACCACTCAACGAGGTGAATTTGTGCGTCAGAAAGAAAAGGGGTGGAAATCGTGAAATGCCTAAAATGCCCTCCAAATAACTACTTCATTTTATTGACATTTATTCAACCACATTGAATGGGACACTTTATAGTAATATGGAGTTTTTTTTATCATTGATGAATGACTACACACATATATTCACAAACAATGTTTTAGAAGTTGTTAGGCCTAACCTTGTTAGGTGCTTGTTAGGCGTTCAACTAACGCCTAGAGCATTTAGGTGGGGCCTAGGCGCCACTTAGACGGGATCAAGAAATCAAGATTAAATATTTTATTTTTTATTTATTTTTACTATCTACAAAATAAACTATTTTAATTTATAAAAAATCAACACACTTATGTTCAAATAATGCTATTAATATATCATAATGAAAATATGATAACAAAATAATGTATTTAGTATTTAAAAAAATGAAAAGTTTTTACCAAGCCCGCTTAGGAGCGCCTAGGTGCCCCCCAGTTGTCTGGCGGCCGAGCCCGCCTCTAGGTCCACCTAGACGCCGTCTAGCCGTTTGACCGATTTTTTCAGTCGATTTATGCAAATCGGAGGCGGGTGAGTACTGCCTAGGCGGCTGCCTAGGTCGATTTTGAATATAGTGTTCACATGTAGTGTTGTTAAATTAAACGAGCTCAGTTCGGCTCATTAAGACTCGAGCTCGACTCATTTCATTTGATAAATAAGTCGAGCTCGAGTTTACTTAAAGCTCGTTTGGTGAATAAGTCGAGCTGAAGCGAATTTAAAGCTCGTTCGAGCTCGGCTCGAAAATATAATATTTATATAATTTTCTATAATTCGTTTCGTTAAAGTTCGAGATCGGTTCGTTAAGGCTCAAACTTGGCTCGTTATTTATATATATATATAATTGTTGGCTAATAACATTTAATAAAATATGTAATAAAATCTCATTTCGGTTTTCCTCCAAAAACCGTTACAAACTTTATCATTTATATATCTCTCTCTCTATATAATTTTATTACTAACAATAAATTTAATAATATTACTTATTTTTTATCATTTTTTTATGTTACAATCTTCTATTATTATTATTATTATTATTATTATTATTATTATTATTGCACCATATCTAATTAATGCTAAAATATTTCATTGCACTTTTTTTAGGGTTAATTAAGACAAAAACCGTTACATTTTATATTAACGGAGTAATAATTATATTATTTTATTATATCATATAAAAGTTATTATTAAAACTAATAACTATAGTTTACGCTAAATGATATATGAAAGTTACATAAACATAAAAAATTATTGTAAACTTTTTGCTAAAGTTATTTATTCTAAAATTAATATTATATTCTTTTTTTTTTTTTTTTATTTAGATATTTTTAAATAAATTAATTTATTTTAATGTTATAGTAAAATTCCTTAAAATCGCATAATCAAATGGTATAATAATTCAATACTTTTAAGCTAATAAATTGGCGATCTCTCAAAATTATATTATTTATTATTTTTATGTAATTAATATAGTGGTTCATATGCAATCAAATAGTTATGTACTATTTATTTTAACCAATAATCAAATTTTAAAACGTAATATCATTATCTAATTTATATTTTTATTATTATATGCATAAATATAACTTATAATGCTCTATGTTTAAAATATAATATCATTGTATAACTTATAACTATAATACTATATGCGTAAATGTAACTTATAATATTCTATTTACATTGTGCAAGTGCACAGGGTCGAATACTAGTTAGTGATAAATGAGCCGAGCTCGAGTTTGATTTAAGGCTCGTTAAGGACTCGAGCTCGAGCTCGGCTTGACTCGTTTGCAGGCTTATTTACAAGTATCTACCTATTCAGGAGTATATGTTAATCCAACAGTAAAAAAAAAAATTCGATGACTGTACTAATGCAATGCAGTTGCCGAAAGGTCCGAACTCATCCATTTTGAATAATGTGATAGAAATAGAAATGTGTGTGTATATGAATTTCACTTGGCCATTTATGACACGGAATTATTAACCTCTCGATAAATTCACCTTCATATGAGTATGTGATTGTCTGATTAAAAAGTTGCTCCTGTCTACAGGAGTAGAGTCAAGTTCTCCTCGTGTATCTGTTGTAACAACGAAGTTATTCTGCTAGATTGGCCTAACTACTAATTTGGCATACATTTTAATAAATATAAATATAGTTTATTAAAAATATAATACTTTAAATAATAAAATAAATAAACTTAGGATTTATGTTAGGCAAACACAATCTTGTAACAAATATATTAGACAGCAATGTAAATAAAATTAGATTATTCACAGCACAAATATATATTTTGCTCTAAGTGGTTGTCAAGTGGGTTTTTTTTTTTTTTAAATAANTATGCATACTTTTAAATTAAAATATATTTTAATAATTAATATATAAAAAATCTAGTTTTTATTAGAAATATATATATAACGAGTCATCAGTCAATAAAAGTGATCACATGATACAGTCTAGGCCACCTGCACCAACCTCCTCCTTCTACTGCCACCACTTTCTCTCTCTACCTCTCTACTCTCTCTCTCGCTAGCTCTTCTCATCATTATCTACCCTCTTTTCATCGCGTTTCCCTGCTAAATGCTCCAGCTCAAATCCCTAATTTTTTCAATTCCCAATAGCGCCGCCGTACAATCCGCACCCATGGCCGATTAACCACCTTATTTCTCGTCGTTTGTGTATGTGTGTGTGTGTGTGAATTTTGTGTTTCGGGTAATTGTAGAGGAAATAGGCGGAGATGACAGGAGGCGCGCGGATGCCGACGTGGAAGGAGAGGGAGAACAACAAGCGGCGCGAGCGGCGGCGGAGGGCGATCGCGGCCAAGATATTCGCCGGACTCCGGCTGTACGGAAACTACAAGCTCCCCAAGCACTGCGACAACAACGAGGTGCTCAAGGCCCTCTGCGGCGAGGCGGGCTGGACGGTTGAGCCCGACGGGACCACCTATCGCAGGGTACGGATTTTGATTCTTATTTATTTATCGTGAAAAGAGGATTAGTGCGGTGAGGGACTAAAATGTTGAAATTCAAGCTGCAATTGTTTTTTTTTGTTTATCATATTTACATTGATTATCGTTTTATTAAATGCTTCATTTATGTGTGTAATTTTAGACGTATTTTTCTCGGTTAAATGTAACAAAAATTTTATGAATTGTGAATGTTATTGATGGCTGTATTTTATATTTTAATATAACAAAAAATGTTTTACTCTTGAAACTTTTCTTGGGTGAGAGTTGAGTTTTTTCCTTTTTCTTCTTTAAAATAAGGTCAGATGTAACGCGCAATTTGCATAATTACTCATTTTTCTGCATATGAATTTTCATGGCCTTTTTTGTGTGTTTTGTACTTTTACTCGATGCTTTTCCTCCCTTTGTTGACTGATGACTCTTTGAGGATGAACTTGTGAAAATAGTTGTTTACACAAAGCCATTTTATATTTAAAAAACAAGGAAAAGAAAATTCTTGTTTTTCTCTGTGTGTGTGTGTGTGTGTGTGTGAGGACAGACTTTAGTTTAGATTCTGGAAGCATCTTTTCTGATGAAATCTACTTTAACCAACTTTCATTCTCTCTTCTCTTATGATATTTTTTGAATATCTCAGTGTGTTAAATTTTGATTAAAAAGCTACACTTTTTTTAAATGAAATAAAATGGAAGTGTGTATTTTATTTTATACTCAGTTTATTAAAAAAAAGTTATATTCAAACAGAAAAGGATATTTCTGCTTTTCCTTTTGCCTTTCACATTTTGCTGCTGGGCTTGTAGTAGAGCAAGTGGGGTATAGTGTGTTGGGCCCATTATCAACTTTAATCATACATCATCCAGTATCAATGGGCCATGTCTGAAGGCTGAAGTTGGGCCAGCTGCTTAAAATCACTGCAAAAAAGCACATGAACCTCCTGTTTACTAATGCAAGGTTAAACTTGTGATTGTGAAGGAATGAAAAGAAAAGATGATTTTTTTTTTCTTTTGTCAGTGTTGTGACTTGTGAGTGACTTTTGGCTGGCAGTGTATCATCATTTAAGCTGCATGTTACCAGCACAATGATGGTAAATTCTTAGCAGAGATTTTTTCTTTAATTTTTACTACAAGATCTAGCTAATAAAGAGAAGGAATGAAAATTGAAATGTGAAAACACCCCTGAGGTTTTGAAAACTACAAATGATTAAGATGTGATAGTGTCTTTAACC